GGTGCAACAACATTAGCCAACACTCGTTCAATCCCACACATGCCGCGTTTTTTCTACTACTCTATACTAATTTAGTCATTTTTATGCTCTTACGCGCAGAAGCCACAAGATTAACACGAGCGCACAGATTTTTTCTGTTTTTGTGGGTAAAAGGATAGGATTTGTACACCGTGTTACATCCCCGGGGAGCAAAAAGTCTTTCAAGTGTTGGAAATAAACTCAGCAGACCAACCAGTACAGTTCCTCCTAAGGTGTTTGGTGACTACAGAATGACTGAAACTTGCTGCTCTATTTAACTGTTAGGTGTACCACAGTGGGAAATACAATACAGAAGTAAAACACACCCAAAAGCACGCATGCCATATTTTAGAAAAGTCACAGCTCTGCCGCAAAGGCAAAGCAATGAACGCGATAGCAACAAATTGGAAGGTCACGATTAGAATTGCAAGCAGATCGAAACGTACCTCACGTTTCTCACGCACAGATGACACGCGAAACGTGCTCGCAGGTACAGATTGCACGCAAATAAGCGTCTCAGTTGTTACTTCGTTTTGTCTGAAAAGCGCCACCTTTTCGCATACGGAGGCTGTGCGACGATTGCAGGGATTTTTGTGCGCTCCGTAACTACAACAGAACGTTTCGGTGCAAGCCGAATGCCAGCCAAGATGTATGATCCTCCCAACCGGGACATAAGGGTGCATGAGAGATAATCCCCTAACCTCATTTCCGCTGGGAAAAGTACGCGTGGTAGACGACGGCCGCTGCGCGCATTGCGCCATCTTGCTGATAATGCTGAAAACACCATAGCCCTCCTCCCCACTTGATGCCAGCCAACAGCGGTAAGTGGTACATATAGATAGCTTGACGTTTAACTTAAAAGGAGGTATCTTTTGTTAGCTCAGTCGTTAACGCCTCGCATTCACGACGCGGTGGTCCCACATTCAATTCCGCACGCCAGTCTTCTTTTTTCTGGATTTTTTTCTTTCCCGCGTTTTCATATATATAGATACGTATACATATACGGTGCATGACGCCGACGCCAGCGGCGAAATCCAGCCGAGAGTGCTCTTTAATTGTTATCACAATAAAAATAACAGAAACGTTTAGTGACGTGGTGACCGAAACACAATTTCGCATTGCCCACCTGCGAGATTCATTCTACAGTTGTATTCTAATACGAGTAGTTCTTTCTCAAAGGAAGCTGCACTCTCACGTTTCATGTTAGCTTGTGCTCTCACAGTTGCTAAAACAATAAGCATGCTTCAAGAGCGGCTTTATACAACCGTCCTGGTTTTCTCTTCCATGATACTGGTGAACGCTGTATTCGCACGTGGTGTTAGTAAGCGTAGGCCGGATATCAGAGAGGTAAACATTTCACGACATGCCCTCCCAATTTTTTTCTGGAATGCCGAAAGTGCTGTATTATGTTCTCACCAAAGCACTTTTCAATAATGTAGGCTTGTATGATGTGCAAAATAGAACAGACTGTTCCGAAGTGAAGAAACAATATATCGCTACAGTTGTCGAATTTCTTGGACAGTTCTTTTCACCACAACGTCATATATCATAAAGGGGAAGCCTTCTTGTTTTGTGAATGTCACTCTAATGTAGTTCTAACGCCCTGTAAATCATAAAGTAATATAGTAGTAATTATACTGTACCTCCAAGGAGCAATGTGACTTTGCTACGTGACAGTCACAGCGTACATATGAGCAGCAAAGGTCGATGCACTTCGAAAGCGAGTAATGTGTTGGATTAATATTTCCCGCAATACGATGGTGTATTTTTGAAATGATGATGATTTCTTGTATGGTTGAAAGAATTATAACAAAAAGATCGAGTAACTCGAGAAATACTGGAAAAAAGTAGAAACTACCCCAGTAAGCCTTTTTTTACACAATAGAGCGCGCTGTAACATTGCTCCTAACAAACTAAGGCCTCTTTTAGCTTCTCTATAGCAATATTTACAGTAATCTAAACGTAGCCATAACCATTTCGTAGCAAGCCCCGCCGTGGTGGTCTAGTGGCTAAGGTGCTCGGCTGCTGACCCGCAGGTCGCGGGTTCGAATCCCGGCTGCGGCGGCTGCATTTCCGATGAAGGCGGAAATGTCGTAGGCCCGTGTGCTCAGATTTGGGCTCACGTTAAAGAACCCCAGGTGGTCGAAATTTCCGGAGTTCTCCACTACGGCGTCTCTCATAATCATATGGTGGTTTTGGGACGTTAAACCCCACAAATCAATCAATCAATCAATCAACCATTTCGTAGCAGACATAATGTGCGAAAAGCGATAAATAACGTATCTACAATCCTTGATGAAAAAAAAAATCATGCTGTCTTCACGGAGTGAAGGATGATATAGGAGCTTGCTCAGGGATTGATCAGGTGAAATCGTGAATTCTCCATACAAACTGCCTACCATAATGTAAAGACGTAAGACGTTGTTCAAGAGGTGATTGTGTATGCGCCTATATATATACAGAAGATTTAATAATTTCAACATCTATGCAGGCATATAAAACGATTATGTTACTGATTACAGAGATGGGGAGCGAGTTTTCCTTTTAGAATTGCAATATTGTGGTCTGTAGCGAGCAGGTCATGGGTTAGAGGTTGCTTTTGAAAGTTGGAGAAGGCAATGCCGATACAGGTTCCGAGTCGATGTTCTCCTGCCGCAGCTTGCGTACCGCCTCTTCTTCGCAGGCTCTGACTTCGGGGTGTGCCTGTCGACGAGACTTCTTCTCCAGCGCAGAGTGCAAATAATGCCTGACAGATTTGTAGTGGGCACCTCACTTATCAGCACAATGACGAATGGCATAGGGGCATAGTGAGTGTCTCTCTACTTGGTGAAAGTTACGGTGCGCCATAATGGGGACATTGCACAGCCTCTAGTGCACACACCGAGGAACATGACCTGAACATAAGAAGCTTGGAGAGCGAGCTCCTTAGATGTACTCTGTACTCTGTCTCTGTGCTTATCGACAGATAACGGCTTGCCATAACAGCTGAAATTAGGTGAGATGGAGACGAAAAATAGGAATAGAATGACTCTTACATTCACGTTAACGTTGAAGAACGATAAGTGTTGCAAACTTGTCTCCAATCTCTCATGACCGCATGCTTTCGCGCCTATTTGAATGTAAACATTCGAAGGATGTACGGATGTCTGCTTGGTTAGGATAGTAAACTGAGAAACTGTTTTAACTCCAACCAAAATTAGGTACGTCAAAATTTGTCAGCCCGACGCTTCGGAAACGACTGGGTTCGTTCCTCAGGGGTGACTGCAGCGATGTTGCAGCGGCGTTTTCAAGGCACTCGCGGGATGGTTAATGATCCCCCCCTCTCCCGTTTTGCCGTGGAGTGTAGTCCATGTGCATACACCGGGGAAGGGTTCCGAGAGAACAGTTGATGTTTTGAACCGTTCGCTGTACATGCCACGACTGCAGTAGTAGCCTTCTCCTCCAGGTACATGATTTAACTTCGCGAAAAACGGAAAAAAGAGTTCTTTTCTCTCCTTTCTTGATTTCATTTGTTTTTTTTTTTTGCATAGTTATATTATGGCTCAGTACCGACTCGCCCAACCTGCCATTGTTGTTCTCCAGGTGGTCTCGCTTTCAAGGATGGTCGTTGCGTTGAAATTTATCTGGTGGTCAAACGTCTTATAATGCTGAGCGACGGCGCTGCGCTGTTTGTTCAGCTTCCGGGCGTCGTTGGCGTGTTGTTTGAGTCGTTCTAGTAGGTTTTCCGTCTCGCCGATATACAAAGAAGGGCACTGGGCCCACGGGAGTCGGTAAACGACACCGGAAGTCCCGTCCGTTGTTGGCTGGTCCTTCGGGCGGGGGAGAAGGCAGCTCAGCGTGAACGAAGGCACACGCACAACTGAGTATGCGTTATATCTACACAGCGCACTCGCTCGAAAGATTACGAACGATGTACTCCCATTCTGTTGTATTGAAGAATGCATTCATAATGTGTTTCTTTTGCGGCTCTAAGCTTAGATTTATTCAAAACAGCAGGTCTTATTTATGACATTTTTTTATTTTTTGCAGTTTCTGTGCACAAGAGAACGTATATGTACTTACAAAACAAGCACAAGCGAGTATGTTCAATGTAAAGTAGACCGAGTGACGAGTATCAGTCAGGCATCCATTATCTTCAGGCGGTATTACTTCTATGATGAACAACAGTAAGGTATCTCCACTACTCTTTAAAAAATTAACATCTTTACTTGCTAGCATTACTTACCATCATCATCATTAATTGCAAACCACTCTACACTGGCACGATTAATATTGCTTCATCAACGAATTCTTGACAAACTAAGCATTTCCCGTTCTAAGTACATCTCTATTGCAGACAGAAGAATAACTAACTAGACTAAAACATTCATATACAATAAATGAACACCGCTTTTATACCAATTCTTTTAAACACTCCTTCCGCCCGCTATAGCCATAAGGCCGCGGAACAACTTACCTTCCACTAGTACCAATACCTACTTTGTAACCACTTTTTAATCACTACTTAAAAAATACGTAGATGACACAATAACATAGCTACGTTTCGCACCATCCATTAACTATGGATTTTACCCTTACTTCTACCCTCATGCCACTAACTACCTTTGAAAAGTATGCGTTCTCGGTACTTCTTTTGTTAAGCTTATGCACGTGTGACTGATTGTATGACCTAATCGTACCTATATTAATATTTTATGATGCGTCTGTGTGTTAAAGTTAAATTTCACTGTTTTATATAGATCTTCTGCATATGTGAATTTATATTATTACGTTGTCATTAGCAAAAGTGCTCTTGTTATTTTGCATGAACTATTCCTTTTATACTTCTTAAAACTGTTATACTTACAAGTTGTGCCCTTCCTGCAATAATCCCTTAGGAATTGGCAGTATGTACTAACTAAATAAGTAAATAAAGAAGTAAATAAATAAATGAATAAATAAACTTTATAACATCACACTTATAGCCACTGGACCAAAAAGAAACTCCAGGGAATATTTTCGGCGGAGCAATGCGACGTAATGCAAGTCCGAAACCTAGGTATGTAGAGGACGCTGCAGTTTTTTATGCAATTCTCAGATATCCGTGTGGCCACAGTGGAAGAATCGTAGACTGCAAACTATAGCTTTCCTTCAGTAGGTGCTTTAGTTGATAATTTCCTTTTCTTTTTTTAAAGACCTAGTAACGTTTACTCGTGAACAACAACCCTGCGTTAAATTTTTATTTACGCTCTGAGTTTCTTCAATATTTTGTGTTTTGAATGCAAAGCATTTCTTAGCAAACTTCAGCGCCTTTGAGCATATCTGTCTATATATCTATCTATCCAGCCGCTTACGTGTAGGTGCTGTCGTGATCACCCCCTTAATTTGGGGTGAGTCAAAATTAGAATGGGGGGGGGTAAAATCGTTTGACACATATGACACGCTGGTCAAGGCAATAATATTGTCACAATCCCGTCACGTACATCGCCAAACACTTCCCGCCAGACAGTGACACATACCCAATGGCGGATATGTACCGCTTGTATGCTGGTGTCACAAAACGAGCGCGCAAAAAGGGCGCGCCGCCAAATCCTCGCGACAAAGCGCCGGAGAGACGCCTCAAGGTCAATGATGAAAAAAAGAAAACAAGCATCCAAAGACTCTCCGGGCGCGCCTTTCTCTCCCTCGAAAGCGTAGGTTCGCCGACGAATCTCCTCACTTCGGCGGCCGAGCAATCCCTGGAAAGTTCTCGATGGAAATGGGCGTGGTGATGCAGGGTTGCGTCATCTTTCGCGGACGGCCCTCGTACCGTCTCGCGCTTTCCCCAGCCTTCACTGCGTATCGCGCTGACGAAATGATGAGAACTTTCTGGAATCTCGCGCGGAAGGTATTTAATCGAGCAGCAGAGATGGGAGATCAGGAGAAGAAGGAAGTTAGCGCCAGTGTGCGTGGGGTTATTCCGCCGCGTCTGTCGGTGAAGGTTTTGTCCTTAGTGACAAAGCAGGAGAAGACGAAAGTATGCGCCAGAGTGCGTAGGGTGTTCCGCCTTGTGGGCGAAGCCTTTTGTCTTTCGTGACAAAGGAGGAGAAGAAGAGGATTTCCACCTGAGGGGTGAATACTCGAGCTACAGGCAAGAGTGTGTGTCTACCGCTATCGAGCGAAGACGCGTGGCAACAGCTGCGTGTGTGAAACCGACGTGTTTCCGGCGAAGAAGTTCGGAGCCTGGAGAGCGGCCAATTGAAGAAGTGAGGTTTCCTAGAAGAGAAACTTCGGGGGCTGCGGAACGACAACAACGCTCGACTTTGAGCGATTCTCGGAAGAGTATCATCCAGACTTTTGTTCCAAGAACTGTAGACTGAATAAGTTTTCTAACTCTTTAGTCTTTAAGTGCCTTGGTTGTTCGATGCATGTGACTGCATTGTAGTGCGTATTGTTGTCTGTGTCCGTTGTTTGGAGTGTGGCTGATTGTACTGCGTAGTACGTTGTTTGATTGGTATCATATCATATTCAACTATTGTTGAGTGTGCATGCTTGTGTATCGTTTTGATCTGCCATAATTGAGAATATAATTTTGTTTTGTTTATCAACTCTCGGCTTTGACTTGTTCTTTGGGCCACAGCTGGCGTCCGCTGGCGCGCCAAATAGGACCACTTTTAAATTGTCCACGCTTTCGTGGTGCGGTTCGGGGGGCCGATACTTCGGCCCTTGGAATTAGCCCGGCAATCGCCTCCCTAATTAACGGGACCCATGACAGCTGGAATGTGCCACAGGTGATTGACAATTAGTATCTACCACGGAACGATCAGAACACACATGGGCAGTTCTAACGCGCGAGCGTTATGAAATACCCGACGTCGGTAGTGCCGACCTGACTAATGCGAAGAATATAGGTGTGGGTCCCAGCTGGAATCGAACCCAAGCATTCTGCATGGCAATGAAGAGTTTTACCACAGAGCTACGTCAGGTCTCGGCACCGCTTTTGAAATAGACAATAATATTTGTGAAACTTCAATAGTAGTTTCAGTGCTGCCTACCCAATTTTATGAACATTACATATGTACTCTATCGGTACGGCCGTAACTTCAGGTTAACGTCAACTGTGGTTAGTTCCCATGCGCTGAAGCTTATTTATGTAGCAGTGTTTTGGGCCAGCATGTTCACGAGCATCAGATCTTCACATCAGCTTCTGGCGTTTCTCTAATACACATGTTCCAGTTGGCAACGTTGCGCAAGTGCAAACAAGTGGTTATATAAACATCTGCAACTCTTTAACATATGTCTGTGCGTGCAACATTTGCACGTATATTTAGCGTAATTTCTTGACGTGTCGCTCAATCAAAAAATTGCAACACAGTCACCTTCCCTCCGCATGCTTCACATAACGTCGATTCACAGATGCGGTACATGGAATCTGCCTAATTTTCTCACGTAGCGAGATAAAACACCATTATCGTCTGCAGTGCTTATAATAAATGCAGTAACAGATACGTGCAAAAGCGATCCTTTATTGTGCGGCCACCTTATTTTCCACGTTTAGGTGCACTACAAATCACGCTTCTGCAGTTTAAAACTGTAAGTGTCCTTCACTTGTGAATATGAATATCTTGAAAAAATAATGTTACCTAGGCGAGGTGAAGGTAATCGGACGAAAAAAGGCGTACTGACTATCTGGACTTTGAAGAACATTGCATGAATCAGGATTAGGAAGTTTAAAACTGCAGGTACCGTACTTTTGTAGATATTTTGCGCAAATAATATGACGTGGTCGTGACGGTGAAGAAGGTGGTACTCAAAGTATTGAAAACGTAACGTTTTTTCGGGGCAAACTTGTGCCCACGACAGGAGATGTCAAATGAATACACGGTGTACGTTGATAGCGGCGAAAATGGCGTCGGTTGTCACAGGCTGTCGGTAATGGGACCAGTGGCAAGTAATGACGGCATTTATTCGAGCCTTATCACTCGAGACTACGTTCGTTTCAGAAAGAACACCACTGTTCGTACTTGCAGACTAATGCATATCAGAAAGTTCCAAAATAATATTGAAGGTTCTTAGACATTCAGGTGCGGCATGTGCAAGGCAGTAGTTATGCGTGTATGCACCAAAAAAGCGTGCGTGGCAGTAATTTGTGTCTTCACTAACAAACATAGTTGATTCAATGTTTCATTTCCTGGGTCTTAACACATTGATACACTCGTTAACAGCTGCACTAATTGCAAAAGATTTACGTACTATTCTTCAGACAATTTCGTGAAACATGCGTGCATTGTCTTCTTTAAGAAAAAGGATTGCCAAAACACCGGGGCACAGGAGGGCTCATATAATATTTCATTTACAATTTATAGCTCCATGCAATGACTAGCTGCCTGTGATAGGGGTTTCGGTGCTTTTGCATGTCGGACAGTACTCGTACCACCAAGCACATTTTCGCAGACATGTCGCTGTACTATACGAATGCAAATAATCTCACTTTTAAACATGGATGCTTCCCTAGGCTAAATTTTTACAGTTACTATGCTGACTCCCCTAAAATTTATAAGCAGGGAAAATGCTTCAAAAACAATGTTTAGCCAGCGCCACTGAGTCCGACATTTACGTATTGCTCAGTATATGGTGAGTCACTGCAACATGATACGTCGATGTATGTCAAAATGGCCGAGCCCCTGCTTACCAAATGGAAACACTTCAATATAGGGAACGTTGCTATGGCACCAGAGTTGTGGCGCTCCTTTGCTGCCTCTGGAATGCGCCTCTGTGACATCTCAACTTAAGAAGACTGTGAAATTCCTGAAAACTTCAAGAGTATCACTGCAATGAGTAGAAAGTTCGGTTCCAGACCATCTTTCGCCCCGCCGGAAAAAGTAGCGCTGAACAATATTTCTGCCAGTCACGGGTTGGAAGAAGAGCGCCCACGCTTCATGGCTGAAAACAGACTAAAGAGGACGAAAATCTTTAGCGGGAAGAAGCATCATGTAAAAAAAAATAAATGAAGTTTGGTAATAAAAATAACTTGCAGTTGCTTGCCTCAAACAAGCAGGGTTGCCTTGTTATTTTACTTCAGGGGTTACTTCAGGAAAATTAAATGACTGCACTTAGGAAAAGTTTTGTTAGTATTGACAAAAAAAAAACAAGCGAAGTTCAGGACGATGCTCTCGCCTTACTCTTTAACCACAGTCTTGAGAAGCTCACTCATACAATAAAGCTTTCTTACAATTGTATCTTGAGCTGTTTTTTGAAAATAAAATACATAAGCCAGCTGCTCTGTTTAGGTCTATTCTGCCGGAAAAAGATTTATGGCATCTTTACGCTTCTAGATTTTTTCAAAATCAACTTATTAGCTTGAAGGTATTGGATCCTGTTTGTGTACCAAGTTCCGATAATTTCGTCACCTTCTTACCAACTCCAAACTATGGTAATAGCATTATTTTATCATTGATGTCCAGGACTGGTGTTATCGCATTGGGCATTGTGTCTAATGTGAACTGTAGCACAGTGAATTGATAAGCATAGTGACCAAATAGAATTTAATAATAAATGTGGCCTATGAGGAGTAACTGTCCCATGTTCCTACTTATGTAGGAGCAAAAACGTTCTTATATATGAATATGGGAACTGTAATATTTTGCAATCGCATTGGTCAGTTGGCTAGGGAAATTATAGAGGTTTCCATGTCACTGAAAAAAAAGTCATTGGATTGTATTGGTAGCTCTGAGCAATCGTGAAATGTCTTCTTTGGTGAATCACCGGAAAGTCATAAATTTATTGTCATTGCCACACGTCGTACCTATATGTAGGTTTACTAAGCGCGTTTTTTTTATTTACCCATTGTAGATTCAAGTGCAATGGTTCGCCTGCCATCTCAATTTTTTTCTGCCTTCTCTTTGTGCGTTGCTTCATACGTAAACATACACAGTTCTATCCCCCATAGGTGAATGTTCTACTTTATTGAAATATGAAAACTAGTATTCCTGTAAATTTAGGTAGAGTTTCTGACCTTATTGATTACGACGTAATTTTGCAGATAATATTTTTCTCTCCATGGAGAAATTGCTTTACATGACAAGAAAATATGGCTGCGCTGTAATCATGGTTACGCAAGCACAATATGGTGAGTGACGCATGCTACTCTACGAAAAACATGTGCCAACATTTTTTTTTTTTTGCGAACACAATGGCAGGAACTATTCTCACGAATCGAGCATGTGGTGCCTTTTGGAGAGGGTTTGTTTTGTGGAAGGTTACTACAATTTACAATGCGCCGCACCATTCTGGCGGCCTTTATGAAAAGTACCTTACGTTTCTATGGCCTCACGAGGTCACGTGACATATGCAAGTATGCTGCAATAACTATCTACACCTCACATAATACAAGTATATAAATCCTAGTTTTAAAGTTCAGTGTTCAGTTCAGCTCCGTGATTTGTTTCACGGTGGCAATGATGATAAGCATTCTGGTTTCTCTTTGCAGGTCGAGAGCCGTATTATGAGTTGCGAGTTTGGGAATCATTCTTGAAGCAACGCCCTAATCTGAAATGTGTGAGAGAGTTTCAGAAGCACGCACATAAGGGGCAAACTATATATGAACCGTTTTGCCACCACATCCTTCTCATTAGGTGAATTGCACAATACGCATCCTAAAGCTGAGAACACCCTTTAAATAAGTGCAATATCTTTTATGGGGAAATTGACACAGTGCAATTTTAGTTCTTCCTCACATAGCAAATGATGTACTCTAAAAAAATTGAAGCTATATTGCGCTTAGCGCAGATACGCTTTTGCTCTTTCAAAATAAAATTGTTTGTATCAACAAAATAAATGATAAGCCAGCATGTCGGCTTGAACACGTTTCCATGTACCACGTTTTGTTTTTCTCTATATAAACACGTACAGTGGCATAAATTCCTACAAAGCCTCAGAACAATATTAAAAGCCTTAGAAAAATTAAAGAGGCAACTGAACAAACTACAAATGAACGTTGTTTCCTTTAATGTTTAGCTCGGTTCCTGGAACATCGCATAGGGGAATAACGTCACCTACAGGCTTTACGTTACTCAAACTACTTTCATCTACATTTTTTGTATTGTCATGAAACTGAGCACGCAGCCCATTTCACAGCCATTGACGATTCATTGAACCACGTACGGTCTTCATCCAGGAAGTATCAAGCAGAACTGCACCTCTTAAAGCTCCTGATTTAGCTTAGTTTGGATTTGTAGCATCAGAAGTTAACACCCTTGAAAGGTAGAAAGCAGGGAAAGCAGAGATTCATTTTGAAACAGCGCAAAGTATAAAAGACACCAAAAGCAAAACGAGACAAACACTGTTTTTTATTATTCTTATTACTATTTGGCATGTCAGGACGCAACCATTTCACGGCATAGGCAAACGGCAATGAGCGAGGTCCGAATTGCCAGATTAGTTAGGTAGATATAACTACGCATAAGAGAGACCACTGTACAAGTAGAAAAGTGTAGAAGAAGGGCCACTAGGGCTTCTTTTGTGTCCGTCGTTTTCGCGCTCCTTCAAAAATGAACCCACACAAACTTTTCGAAAAACACAGTTGTCTTTCCGAAATACACAAACAGAACGCGCGTAGTCTCACGGAGAGATTGAACAGCATGATAAAAGGTCCTATGCATCTGACATGCAAAACACAATGTACCATTGTTCACCTGCAAGCCTTTTACCCCAACTGTATAGGTATAACGTATTCTATTTTAATATGCCAGACTATATTTTTTAGAAAGAGGCACCAGCCAGTGACTGGTTTGTTTTTATTCGCTCAAATACACATGGCTGAAAAGGAGCTTTTCTTTAAGCTTCCTTATTTTAGTTTTGCTGACATTGGAGACTGGTTTACTTGCATGCGGAATAGGTAAATGCTGGAAACTGGATATCAGACAGGTAAACGTTTCATATATCCTTATTTTTTGCATGTGCAAATTGTTGTACGTATACTTTTATATTCCTGCTATACATTTGAACGAATTTGGTATTGATAGATCTAAAAACAATGTTTCGGACAGAGTTGCAGAAACATCTTGAAAGTGATGAAAATACGTATTTCATTCCGGGCTTGTTGCAAAAATACTGCTGTTGAGAATAATTTATTTTATAATATACCTCTCCTAACGAGCGACCGAAAGCGAAGTTGTGTTGACAACGTCAATTTAAATTTAGCAGGAATTTCGGGCGAATTGTCGCAGAATTGCTGTAGTCCATTTTTTAACTATCATGAAGAAACTATATAATGGACAAGATACTTCCAAAAAACAGAACGCCTTTTTTGTAAATCGTGATTCCCCACAGTGTCGAATAAGCTTTTTGTTTTTACTGGCGAGCTTGTTATCTACAGCTCAAGCACTCGAAATGAAATGTGTGACGGAACATGCAGACTACTTTTTACTTTTTTGGAGAGGCATAAAAAGTCTCCTTTAATGCCTTCATCAAGTGAAGTACCATAACTAGCCTATAATAAACGAGATTTCATCATCATGTAGGTATATTTTATTGCACGGGTGTTAAATTTTATTAGAAATTACACAAAGTTACAAATTGACGTTTTACTGCCGTGAACAAGAGTTCCATTTTCGTATGAGTGGCATTTCCCTTTTGTGCACACCAATGACAATATTCGTATGATTTTGTTATCAGTGCTGAAGCATTTGTTGGCGTTGTATAGAGAGCTCTCTGTGGCGCAAACGTCAGTGTAATATTTCGGTATAACAAACTTTAATACAAAATCCTTGGTGATTTTCTTTTGTATTCTATGCAAAACTCTTTTAGTTAAAATGAATTCATAATAAAGCATATTTCAGTTGAACTGTTGTTTAGGCTAAATCAATGAAGTTTAGCGCTCCTCATCCCTGGTATAGTCCAGGTGTTCTAACCACAAGTGACTTGTTCATCGGTGGCGGGGAAACATCGCTTGTGCAGCAGTGCCACCATAGCAAAGTGGCCAAGCGGGAGACGAAAATGTACCACCGAATCATTACTTGCCCAGAGTTTCCATGTTTAGAAGTGCTTTGAAATGTAGAAAAAAGCCACACCTTTGCCGTAAAGGCGTAGCAATGAACGCTAAAGCAAAAAATTGGACGGTCACGCGCCGAATGGCAAGAAGATCAAAACATGCCCCGCGTTTCTCACGCACAAATGACGCACGAAACGTTCTCCCAGGTAGAGATGAACGCAAATAGGCGTTTCAGTTGTTACTTCACTGTATCAGAAAAACGCGCTCTTTTCGCTAACGGAGACTGTGCAACGATTGAAGTTAACTTTGTGCGCCCGGTAACTATACCAGCATTGTTCCGAGGAAAACCCGATCCTCCCCGCCGGGAGATAAGCGCGCGCGAGTAAGCGTCGTCCCCATCCTCTGCGTAGGGCAAAGTAAGCGTGGGAGATGAGAGTACGCCCCGCCCCGTCGTGATTAGTCGTGATGATCTGGCGAGGCGCGCTCATTGCGCCATCTTGCTGTAAATGGTGCAAACATGGCAATTCCCTCCCTCCCCGATATGTCCGTCAACAGTGGTAAGTGGCAGATATAAATAGCTTGCTATTTATATCTACCACTTAGCACTTAACACCTAATATAAATAGCCAGCGAGCTGCTGGCTTAGTGGTTGGCGCCTCGTATCCGCAACTCAGAGGCCCCAGCTTCGATTCGGCGTTGTGGCGTCTTTTTCTCGATTGTTTTTCTTTCTCGTGTTTACGTATATATAGGAATACATACATATACGGTGAATGACGACGACGCTGACACCGGCAGCAAAAACCAGCCGAGAGTGTCGATATTATTGAATAAAAGGCAGGACGTCGACCAAGAGGTTGTCAAAATATAATAAAAAGACGTATTGGTTTCCACAAGGAAGCCTTGTTCTTAAGCTGGAAAGCCGAAGCCTGCAGTTTAAATGCGCCATAATAATCGCCTGAGGCTTGCATACGTAAGAGGTAGATTGCCGACGTTGTGGTTGTGTTTTCTGCTGCTGGGATTGTCAAAGATTCACGTAGTGCTGTTTCATTCAGTTCTCTTCCCTGGCAACACCTGTTGCTTGATCTTAGTCGAGGCCGTGGTGCGTTTTTTTTCTGCGTGTGCGAGGGCACTGCAAATAACTTTTTTTTTCAATTTTCACTTCATTGAAGTGCTTCTTTTGACGTCGCTTGAAATTTTCGCTTTCACCCACGTAGACCTAAGTGCAGTTAGCACAAGGAATCGTATATACAATGTCAGGAAACGTTTCCTTTTTTTAATTTTTTCTTAACGCTGACAAGCTCGTGACATAGCTTATGGCTCGAGATGTGGGTGATTTGCACAATATATCCACGCAGAACACGTGCCAGTTCTTCGCTCATGCCGGCAACGTACGGAATGGAGGCGCGACGCTGGTTGAGGGAATTACGTGGCTCAGTCGGGTGCACGGCTCGTTTCTCGGACGAAACAATAAAACTTTTGGGGTACGCACACGCAGGGTGTTCGCGTCGGATGACCGCGAAGTCTGAATCTAAGTAAGTCTTCTGGCTTGCTAATATTTTAGGCCCTTTTTTATTAAAGAATATGCCACAGACCGTTCGTGCCTTACGGGTTTAATCAATGCGAAATAAAGATAAGCACTACTATGTACGTCCTTGTTATGGACTTTTAACGACAGACGCTGTCGGTGCCGCTGTATCACTACATCCATAAAAAATAGACGTCCAGTGCTCTTCTCTTCCACGGTGAATTTGACAGCTTTCTCAATGCTATTCAAGTGTTTCGTGAACTTGAACAGGCGTTCATTTTACATGATGCAAGAGCAGTCATCATCGTATCGGAAGAATACTTTCCGAGGAGGGTCGAAGGATGCCAGAGACCGGCTTTCCATTGACTCCATAGCCTGTTTGACCGCCTTTATGGAGATCGAAGCGCGCATAGTTGATCCATGCAGCTGCTTGTGAATGACACCATGGAAAATAAAGCAGGTATTCCTTAAACAGAAATCAAGCAGTCTTTTACGAAATCCTGAATATAAAACACGGTACGTTCACCAAGCTTCTGAGCAGCTTCACAATGGCTCACAGCAAGTGCCACAGGAACAAAGGTAAAACGGAAAATGAGGTCGAATGGCACCATGACTTCATCGTCACCCACCGTGAGATAGCCCACCTTGGCAATGAAGTTCTGCGAGACATGGATGAACGTGCTTCTTTGCAATGTTCGTCTGAAACAGTAGGAAGAAGAATGCGACGAAAATGTTGCAATTGGTGGTGCACGTTGAAATTCTGTATCACAAGCCATGGCTGTAGGATATATTAAAAGGTGTCCAGACTTCGTGTCACAGCAATGATCTGCGCCAGAAGCAGTGCACACAAAGGTAGACTCTCTGGGCAACTGTGCATTTTTTGCACTTGAAAGCGCCAATTCAAATAAGAATTACAGAAATATTTTCAAAACAAATTATCTTTCACACTCTCAACCTGCTATCTACTGAGTGCAATTCAGTTCTATATTTAGTGAATTTTCAAATAAATGAACTATAATATAGGTTACTGGTAGTTCACTCGCGTGAAGGTTCACGGAGTTCACTCATCAGGGCGGAAGCTTTATACGCTCATCAGCCACGAAAATTTGCCGGCATCCCATGGCAGCATCGCCAATCAGCAGCGTATACGCTGAAGATGCGAAAGAGCATCATTATGCACTTTCAGTTGAATACCACGCACATCCCTCACCCCGTGTGTGATTCTCTGACGACGTGCCACTCAGTCGAGCCCCCTGACCTGTCGCATTTGCGGTACGTTAGTGGGCTCGACTAAGTTTTACGTTTACTGTCTATGTGGTCGGTTAGTGGGTTCAATTCATGAGATCATCAAACCATCAGATGATCTAAGAAAATGACTGAAGGGCTTAAGAAACTATTCGTCATAAGAACTTGTTTATATTTGGATGATTATCTGTTCAGTTTGCAGTGTCAATGGCAAGTGTTTTATTGCCTGCTTATGAATGTCTTTGTAACTCTTCATGAGTGTCTCTCCGATTGGGCTGACTTAAGAGATGCCGAAGGAGGCATCTCGCACGCAGTGTACCACTCAGGCTGGAGTTACGAGCCGCCTTCGCAGTAGGCTATCCTTCCGTCTTCGTCGGCCTTTAGCAAGTTATTAAAGATAGCTATCACAAAGTCATCGTCGTCGAACAATTTCAAGTCGTCCTACCTACACGCTTCGGAAGCTCCTCTCCTGATACACTCGAAATGCCTAAAAAGAGAAATGTACCCGCACCTTTTGCTCATTTTAGTGGCTGAGGCAATGAACCGAAAATGTCTACGTAAGAATGATGCCGGCGACAATGCAAGATTGATTGCTCATAAAGTGAAACAAAGTAGTAGTGATGCCATATGTGCTCTCTGTAACCCGTTTCCTCAAGAAGATAGGACAACGTATGTAATGGATCAACAAGGCCACGGTAGGAGAAGCCGATGAAGAACAGGTGAGCGTTCATCATGTCTCTGTGCTCCGTCACACGTAATAATGTCAATTTTTTCTCAATATCCCCCACAAGTTGTTGAAGTTGGCGAATAAAAATTGTCCCGTAAGGAGACGAGGAAAACAGTGTGTGGTCAAACACAGAACACTGTTTGCTGACTGTGTGCGAGGCGCGGTGTTTATACAGTATCTCTTGTCTCGCGGGGACGATTAGGTAGGCAGGCCGGACAAATGCCTAAACGACCGCTCACATGAATGATTCAATAAAATTTGTAATGACAATGATTGCGTCCCGGCATTGCACATGACCACGTGTGGATGTCCTCCACAGTTTTAAAGGACCGCAGCTGGATGTAAGATAAATGATGAGCAAGCGTGCATATTCAATAAGGCTACGTGCTCAGGTGGCGCGAGATAGCAGTGGATAAGTAAGCAAGCTATTGGTGGAAGTATCTGACAAAAAGCTCTGCTGCTTAGAATACATCATTTCACGGAGCTGGCCAGTGTGGTTAGTGCTTTTTTGGTGGTTTCCTATCACTGCGTGCATCACTTGCCTGTTGTTTTTTCCTCATCATTTTTCCATCACTTTCCTGTCCTGTTTTTTTTATTGTTCACGCAAGTACATATAAAATGTATGTTGTCAATAAATATTCCTTTGGAGGTCAGTACTTGTCATATGTTTCAATTTCATGGCCTTGTTTTTGTCTGTGTATCTTAGGGATGCACAAGCAAGTCGCCCAGTTAACTACTTTATTTCTTTACAGCCATTTTTTACTTTCGTGCAGGTGCAGGTTCAGGTGCAAATGAGTTGCACGAAAAAAAATTGAAGTTCAAAAGGAAGACACCTGGATACAGCGCACACCAACAACCAAAAGTTTATTGGAGAAAACAGCCAGATATATGCGGTTACGGGAACAGGACTTGTAGTCATCGTAGTCAAGTAAAGCATCACTGTGGTGAAACCTTACGCCAAGCTGCTTTGGCAGAGGTGGCATCATGGAGGGCGACCGAGCCATCCTTTTCGAGAGCTGGCGCCTTTGTGCTCGGGAGTCGACTGGGTGGCTCTGGCTTGTCTCGGCTTGACTCACCGTGAACGTGGGTGACGTCGAGCGTAAAATGATCCGCTGGGTCAGCTATCTCCGTTGGGAGGCTAGTGCATGGTGGCAGCAACGTTTGTTGTCGCGTCAAGGCATAACCACAGCGACTCGGTGACGCATATGTACTTGGGGCTTTGCGCATGCGCAATACCACCGGCCTAATGTCCTCGGTTCATGAGCCACTTGGATACCAAGCAAGAAAACTTTCTGTTATGACACTTACCCCATAAATACCACCAACAGAAGCCAAATCAGTGGATTAGGCAATTCAGTCATGAGAGAAAAATAAAACAGACAGGCGAATGCATAGAAATAACGGTAGCACACCATTCGAAATAGATATTTCTAGCAAGGAAACCAGCGCAGAGTACGTGCAATATTGAGATCACGTGAATGCCGTATTGTCATTCGTTGGCCGTTGTGGCAATACGAACTGCAGCGAAAGCAAGGGATTGCAAACAATCAATAAAATGCTCATTTTCATTTTATAACATGCTGTCCAAGGGTACTTCCAGGGCATAGCTTCTGAATGTTACTCAACTATTTATAATATAACGAATTCCATTCATCCCTATTTCCAGCAATAAATAATTGAGCTGCACTCCGTTATTACATGGGCCTCTTTTTGATTTCTTTATGTATTTGCTAATTAGTAACATACATTCACTGTAATTTGCTTTGTTCTTGCAGTTTGTATGTACAACGCAACGTATATGGACATACAACACGAGTGCAAGTGAATACATTCGATGTAAGATGGACCAAGCGAAGAATTTTACTCACACATCTATTTTCTTCAGACGGACGTACTTTTTTGATGAGCAACAGTAAGGTATATATATCACTTTCTAAAAAACCCGCACTTATTTTATTACTTTACATTCACAGCCGATGGAGAGCCAGGAACCTCGAGGGATTATTTTCAAAGCAGCAGAAAGATGTCATGCACGTCCGCAACCAAGGTACGCTGAAAAACTCTTACTTTAGTAACGTATTCCCAATTACGACAATGAAAAGGTGAGAGAACCGCGCACTTCAAGCAACTTGTTCCCTGCCATTTCTCAGCCCTACCGTTTTTGTTTTGATTTTGCGTGCATTGCAGGGTATAGGCAAAGCTTCCACTTGCGCTTCACTAATCCTCTGAGCGGAAAGCTTTTCCACACCGACAACTGGGCACTAGGGCACAATTGCCAGGCATTGGCCAGGTTGTGCTAAATTAGCTACATGTTTGCGTTGGTGGTTGCAGAAAAAGTTGTCCTGGCCACTTTGTCACCCCTTTGACATGAAGCCACTTAGCAGTACACCGAGATGTCACAACCACTGTCGTTCGAGTATGCTGTGTCCAAACACTGTGATCAATGGACATTTGCAGCTGCTGAAATTCGACTTGGCCCATGTAGAAACGCATTGCAAAGAGAGGGCGAAGAAAAGGCCCCAAGCAAGGCACTAAGCGACATCAAAAATGCCTCTCAGTTGTTTGTCAGTGCCGGGGTTCACGTCCTGCATTCATCCCGTCGTCTTGGCGCTGTTTGTCTACTAGAAACCATGAGCCAACAATCGCGAAACCGTGCCAGACTTGTGGACTTTACATGAGCATTACACACAACAAAAATTGGGCACCCTTAAGCTTCGTCTTTCGGAGTTGAACGCGATAGCGAAATCCGGCCCCTAGTGCGTCCTCAACCGTCAAGTGCGTTCTTATTGGTATGTTTTGTGACACACACACGCACACACAAACGCACACAAACGCGCGCGACGTACCTATACCAGTGCAATGACTGTGCATTGTGGCCACTTTACTCTGCTAGAACGGCGCTCTGCTGTAGTCGAGACACGTTTTAGACAATGTCTCCCAGATGACACACACACACACACACACACACACACAAACGCGCGCGCGGGCAAGGGCGACGTATATATAATAATGCAATGATTGTGCAGTGTGCCCACTTCCCTCTGCTACAACGGCGCTCTTCTGTAGTCAACACAGGTTTTTCACAATGCCTCCGAGACGGCACACAGACACAAACACACACACGCACGCACACGTGCTTGCTCAACTGGTACATACAGGTTTTTTATCTAAAGCAAGAGCCGCATGGACTCCAAGATGCACGCTGAGCGTTCGCCATCTTGGAGGCCATAAAGACTCTCATAATACCTCACAGATGGCAGCAGATTATCTAGCGTTTGCTTTTTGCTTGATCAATGCCTCTGGAAAGGCATAATATGTTTTCTGCTGGATGGACGTAGTTGTCCATTTTCAAAGCTGTTTGAAAGTTCCTGTGTGTTTTCAGCGGTGGTGGCTGCACTATCCCGGCCGTTTTAGACGTAGTTTGGTGGCCTCTCAAATGCGCCTACAAATCACCGGATGGACTCGTTTTTGTCATGACACCTGTCGAACAAAATGCGTTACGGAGACTCCTTCAACTACATGGTATTTATGTAGTTTTTATTCCGAAGCAGCTGCAAGTAACATCATGGCTTTGTGGTAGGACACCTGCTTGCCACGCGAACGCCCCGGTTTGATCCTCAATAGGACCGAAACCTTTAGACTTTGCTTTGTTTGCTTCTTCCTCAACTTTTCGCTCACCAACAACCCACGGTGCCGATGCTGACAGCAGAATTTCTGCGACACGAGCTCTCTAACGTTAAAATTGGGAGATGCCACATACAGTGGGAATCGATATGTGAATCACGAATGAGGAAGGTTTATATGTCACTATAAAATCTTAATACCATTACGAGGTGACGTAAATTATGCCGTACATGACTTCCATGACAAGATTATTATGTTTGTGCCATGCATTTGAGTGTCTTGTCCAGCAACGTCACGTAGCACCAAATTTGGTATATCTGATGCTAGCGAAACAGCCGCAAGCACGCTATTAATGTAGCATGTAGTCAAGTTTTGCATGACACGCATGTCAAGATTATCAAGTTTGGACGTGTCATTTACCTTCATCGTCTATTCACGTTATGTAATACCTAATTTTGTATATGAGAAGCTTGCGAAACCACCGTGAGAGCATCATGAGCGGGGTATATTGTCATGTTTTTACGTGACACGCATGTCATATTTTAGTGTTTGCACCAATCATACACTTCGGTAAACATTCACGTCGCGTAATACCAAATTTGATACATGTGAAGCCAGCGAAACAGCCGTGAGTGGATCATGAGCATGCTGTGTTGTCATGTTCTTGCGTGACACGCATCATGTTTGTTCAAGTCATATACCTTGGTTACAATTCACTTACCGTTATACCAAATTTGGTATATGTGAAGTTAGCAAAGAGAGTGCGAGCGCACCATGAACGTGGCGCGTAGTCATCACTTACATGACATGCATTTCATAATTTCTACGATACGGTCTGTAATAAAGTTCGCTATGCAGTCATGACATACCACACCAGTTTTGCGTTGTCTCATGTGAACAAAACCACTGCAAGAGCAGCAATATCATGAAATATATAGCATGATATTCCTGACATACATGTCATGATTTTCATGTTGTGACTAGTCACTTACGCTCGTTATACACTCGTGTCATGTCATACCAATTTTCATATAGATAGGCCAGGAGATTTAGAACTCGTAGACAGACAGACAGACAGACAGACAGACAGACAGACAGACAGACAGACAGACAGACAGACAGACAGACAGACAGACAGACAGACAGACAGACAGACAGACAGACAGACAGACAGACAGACAGACAGACAGACAGACAGATAGATAGATAGATAGATAGATAGATAGATAGATAGATAGATAGATAGATAGATAGATAGATAGATAGATAGATAGATAGATAGATAGATAGATAGATAGATAGATAGATAGATAGATAGATAGATAGATAGATAGATAGATAGATAGATAGATAGATAGATAGATAGATAGATAGATAGATAGATAAGATAGATAGATAGATAGATAGATAGATAGATAGATAGATAGATAGATAGATAGATAGATAGAAAGAAAGAAAGAAAGTCGCCGAAATTCACTAAGAAATGCTTCATATTTAAAATCATTTTGCATACGTCGCTGAGATGTAGCGAAAGGACGGAGCAAAATTACCATTCTTGTCCTCTTGAGTATTTTCAACAAATGCAAGAAACCTGCTCGTGTTTGCCCCAGTGGCTGTTGCTTGGGCTCGACACCCCTTCATTTTCTTCATTCTATAACACAGTCCCATAACTGTCTACCATATAGCGTGCTAACTGCCTTGCGAAGGTAAACTTTCTGAACAGAGCACTTAGTTCTATGGTCAGAAACTAGCTTCCGGCGGCAGACACATGTGATGTCACGACCGTGAGGCATTTTCGTCACACGATCCACCTACCATAGCATTGGTGTGTGAGTCGGCGTGCACAAGGACTACGTCAGCGCCTTGAAGGGGTAGTGATGTTTTGGGTACCGTATTGGTGGCAGAACGCAGAAGCAACAAGTACTCCTTGCGCAAGCGCTTCCGCTAATATGTTAGCTCCTGTCGATGTAGCACTCAACGTGACATATCGAGATCTGTTAGCTAAAGTATCGCAGCGCCGAAATCTTGCAGCAAGTACATTACGCATCGTCGAAGAAATACGTGGGCTTGAGTCATCATGGTCAGCAGGTAATTAACTCAAGGCGGCTGTAGAAGGATGAATAATAAACAACCACGGCTTAGTGTCTTCGATGATGCGAATGATTTGTTGCCACCACGATGTTATTCAACGACGAGCGACGAAACGCCGCAAAATGGTGACAAAACTGCTGGTTCTCATGTTGTTTGTATCACATAATATGAGTGCGCATTATAGTATGCGAGAAAATGGTGATATGTGCTTTTGAGTGAAAGCGAAGACAGAAGCAGCTGCCAGTGGCGCTGAAGTTTGGAGAGGTGGTGGTGTGTTCTTCACTGGAAAACATTTACTCTCGCAGTTTATTTCATGGGACATCGCAGCAACCTTGTCTGCCATTCTTAGTTTTTTGTGCTGAGGCCCGGAGTGCTTGCTTCCCTGTTCAGATCTGCTAAATGTCTTGACAACTCGCAAAACTCATCTAGGAGGCTTTAGAGCATCTTGCGTCGCTTCTTGATATTGAAAGAACCTGACCTTGTGGCACCCTCTCAGGACATTGAGGTTATTCATACAAAGATCGACAAATGAGATTTTGAAGAGCCAGGCGACATTCTCGTTTTGTTCTTCTAAGTGCCCTCCTTTTTCAAATTGAGGTGCACAGCGAAGTTGGAGAAGACATCTGCGAGCAAGATGCGAAGTAGTAAAATGAGGCTGAAGTGACACGTGGCAGAAAAGCACGTGTTCGAGCCATAAGAGATGTTATTGCTGCAGGTGTTGTGCCTCATGGTAGCCCCAATGCAGCTGTGAACTACAGCATTGTCGACTCCATGCACCAGTTCTAGGGTCGAAAATGTGTGGCGACACTAGAACTAGTGTCGTCCAGTGAAACAGTGTCGCCCAGTGACTCCTGGCGAATCTTGACTGACTCAATGTCTTTATTCAATATTCGGACTAAACTTTTGTACACTAACTGTCCCTGATAAAACTGGTTAACGTATTTTGAGAAGGCCTGCGATTGCATTCACAAAGCAAATGAGGAAGTTATAAATTGATTACCTACTTTGTCTATGAGAACGAGAACGTTTGAGAACTTATTTTATATGGCTCTGCCAGTATTGATGAACTTTGGCGGCTGTTCAAAGCAGGTGTATGCACTTCTTCAGGCAATACCTTCTACAGACGCAAAAGAACACTAAATTACAACCCATTCACTACACGCAATGTTATTGAGATCAAGTGCAGAATAAAAGCAATAAAGAAATAGATTAGATGATGCCCAGTTCCATACTTCTGCTGAAAATGAATTCGGTAAAAGGGCTGCTAAAAGAAGAAACAAAGATAGCGAGATACCAATTCTATGGTATAACGCTTAGCAAACTTATGAAGCATTCAACTCCGAAACTCTGGCGTTATATTAAACGCATACAACCTCCTGTAAAGCCGTTGCCGCCTAAGAGAGAAACAAACAAGCAGAAGCGTTTGACATTTTTCATATTGTTTAATCTCCTGACATTGCCATAACTCAAGCCCACCTGCGACAAAATTTCCAGCGAAATGAGGCACTATGTGCATCACTTTTTACCGAAACAGGCATGCTCTTTTAAAATTATATGATAATAAATTCAACGGCCTGAACCGCTTCATGAAGCGGTACCTCGAGCCTGTAAGAAATGCTTATGCCTTCTCTACAACCATAAGTTTCCGATCATTGCTCGCCACCTAAATTTACCAGTATAAAAGTTATTGCAAATGTTGTGATGCTTCTTTACAATCAAATCACAGACTCAATTTCTTTCACTTGTACGTCTTGCGGAACTTTGAAGCATATTGTCACGTCACTCCGGGGGTGTCGACAAGGTTTATTGACGTCTGGGAAACGGGGCTCTAACCAAGCGCGTTGGTTGGGCTTGTTTGCCAGAGCCGGGGCCCACGTGCACTTCTTTTCTCTGTGGTGTGTGCCTTCACCTTGGCATACGACCCACTACTAGAAGTAGGTGCAATACAATACTGAAACTCGTTACCTAGTTAGTTGAAACGAACATGGCTCTATATTCCTATCAAAATGGCTTCAGAGCTAGTCTGTCTAGTGTTCAACAACTTGGTGCAATTCGGCATTATTTCACAAAACAAATTAATGACAAGACAGATGTAGATAAAATCTTCCCATACTTTTGAAATGCCTGCCATGCGAAATGTTAGTAAAATTTAAATATATAATAAAGTATGGCCTGTTTTTCGCTGGATTAATTTTATATGTTTGACGGACCTTCACCAGTTTGTTCAGCTAGGAAGTGGCGTTTGCAGAAGAATGCCAGAAGAATGCCAGAAGAATGCGGCTTCTTTCTGGAATAACTCAGGCTTGCACTTTGACCGTTACTTAGCTCCTCCTAAAAGGCATAACTCGTCAGGTTAGGTTATTCGCAGATTACTACGTCTCGTATAGAAAAATACGGATACGGAAATACCAAATTAGTCCTAATAAGGATTTTCATTTGTTGGCATAGTGTTGTGAGAGCTGGTAAATGGTCATCTATTTTGACAAAAACAACAGTTGCGATAATATTTATACAAAAAAACAATCACTTTTCTGCATGGCTATGATAATGTCATTTTTAACACGATCACACTTTATAAAAAAATTGGTGTCGTGATAATATGAGATTCAGAAAGATGGGTGCACATAGAACATGTTGTAATCAAAGTGACTAGAAAAATAATGTTTTCAAAGTGGGCGCTGCGGTGCTGGTTTGTGGCTCCTGCCTAAACGTCACGGCGTATGTCACGCCACAGTGTTATTCGAAATGTAATGCTCAGGGTACGTTTGCGCACAATGTCTTATTCAACCCACCTTACAGCCATCGAGTCAGCGTCGTAACACTATCACTGTATATCCCCTTTCACAGCGTGGGGAGTAGGCAAAGTCTGTTCTGTTTTAAATTACGTATTTTCGTTTGCCCGACAGTACCTTTCATTCATGATAAACTTTTTTGTTGAAAGTTTTGATCGCCATATTGACGCAGAAAGCCTGCAATATTTCCAACCCTGTACGCAGTTCATGTGCAGAAAAGATTAAGGTCAAGAACACTGTCGAAAGGGTGCATCGCGTTCAGTACATCTCCTGAGAAGAAAACGATGACTTTCGATGTCGAGTCAATTTAGTAGATTGTGTAAGGGACCTTGTGAGATTTTGCTTTCGCTTAGTTCTTGTATTTTTTGTAGTTTCTCTAATATCGGCCTACTATACCTGGTTGACCTCTTTAACTCACTAGAAGCTAGCCAGACCATAACGTCAAGGAAACATAAATGTAGGATGAAGTAGTTGTTTTTTTTTTACCTCAAGGGGCTTCAAATAAGGCAGAACATTGGCGTCGACAATTCTGGATGCGATTGTAGGTTCCGCAGTTGCTTAAAGAGTAGTTATGATTGACTCAGAACATAGACAATAGCCTCAATTGGCGTTCGAAGTGACAAAGATTTTATTGAGATTACCTAAGCTAGACCAAATGTATACAACTGTCTATGTTTCATAACTTAGGCCAATCACCATTTCAGCGCATTTCACCTGAATCAAAGACTGTATTTGGTCGGATGTTATTTTTCAGGAGGCATGTTTATTACCAAGGAGAAGGTGCTATATATCCACATGCGCTACCGGTGCGCCGTAATGAAAGTCTCGCAAGAACAATTCGGTAAGTAATGAGTCTAAGGAAAACAAACTACTATTTTTATCACGTGGGTGATTGCATGGGCTGTACGAAGGAGTATATAATGTTTTCAGAAAATATGTGCGTATTCTAACGGAGAATCCAGCATAATTATCGTGATTTTCACAGTGAACAGTTTCAAATATCGATATCACTAAAGCACGTCATAGAAACAAAATTCTGTTAGCTATCATAACATATATTCAGAGAGGACGTGATAAAGAATAAGTGCACTATACACAAGATTGGCCCCCACCTTTCTAAGCACCTTTATGAAGAGGATCAAAACAATTATGTACTGCGGGCGTTCACTAAATACAGCCTCGTTCTTACAAAATGTTCATCTTCATGTGTTTCCTCTTCAGCATCGATCGTGTTAAATCGGCTGAATAGTGACCAGTGCCGCAGGTGTGCTCACTGCGCCATTTTTTGGTACCTCATAAATGTTGCGCTATCTGTTACGTCAATAATGAAAACCCTTTGCTGTGCCTTTGCAGGTTGGGAACCCTACTTCGACTTGCGGCTTTGGGATGCGTGGGTAAAGCAAGGACCTCACCCTAAATGCGTGCAACAGTTCGCGAAGCATGCACCTAGAGGAAAGGTTATATATGGGCCGCTGTGTGACAATATCCTTCATATTAAGTGATATGCACTAAAGTTGTTGTTGAGTCATTAGGGTAACAAGGATCATCGGCGAAAATAAAGTTCAGCATAGTGAAATTTGAATCGGCTGTGATATATAAAGAAATGCACGCTATAATGAATGCGCTCTAAACTTTCTGTAGGCTAGCGTATTTCTTTCTTCGAGAACTTGCACTGGCTTCTTGATCATATAAAACTATGGGCTCAAGTACGTCGTTTATTTCATTGCTAGCTTTTTCTTGCTCTTTGCAGAAAGAATCTGTAGCGCCTTCTTGTGCACTTCAATGATTGTAGATTAGACGTGTGCACTAGCTCTGAGTAGCCCAGAATGCTCAACTCCAGGCCCAGCCCGTGGGTGAGGCTAGGGTGGACCGATGCCTCTTCATCTCGTCCCCAGGCTGGGCTTGAGCTACCTTGTTTTTTTTTATCCGCTGGACCATGCAAGGTGGAAGATCCGAATCAAGCCCCAACGTAAACACGCAATTTTTTTGTTCGCCCCGTAAAGCCTTCTTCGCGACTGTCATGCGTCGTTTGCTTACGTTTCACTTTGATATGTTGAATAAATTGGCACTATATTGTAAAATGATATCCTCGATGACTACGTAGAAAGTCGTCATATTCTCGGGCTGGGCCAGGCAGGATCCAGATCTTTGTGGGTATTTTTTTTTACTTTTTGCTAGGACCAGACAGGATGGGCTCACAGCACTTCAGCCTTGGCCTCGGGCGGGCCTACGACGCAGTCAGCGGGCACAGGCCGAGCGCGGGCACGGAAATCTGGCTCATGCATAGCTCTACCGTAGGTTTCTCCATTTTCAGCTGTCTCTTTCACGCAAAAAAGTACATGTAGAGTTACAACTTCATATATATTTGTCAGCCTCTTCCCAAAAGCAAGCAAACGTACCTAGATAAAGAAACATACAGTACTACATATTGCCGTCATTAAAACTCAGCCGCTTGTGTCAGAAATGCCCGCTAAAGTAATTCAAAAGAATCTTCGGTTATACACGTTGTTCGGGCCTAAAAAAAAGGAAGAAGCACGCGGTGAATTGTAGCTTGTAAACGTTATACGACCGTAGCTATTCTACACCGCAATGAAACAAACCAACTCTGCTTGCCCCGAGGGGCAAGGTTAAAAAAATATGACACAAAAAGCCATCGGCCATTGCAACAAAAGGTACTGACGAAACCTGTCCTGGCTTTCCGCGGCGAAAACGTCTTACTTAACTCATTGGTCGTGGATTCCATGACCAAAGAGTTTAGACCAAAGAGTTTTCATAGTTTGTCAGACTGTCCGGCACCCCACGGGTGGGCCATACTCGGCGTGCTGGGACGCAACCCCACGCGGTCATCGGTTCTGATGCTGTTAAGCAGCCCAACGAAGTAAAGTCCAAGATTTTCATACAGCGTATGTCACGCAATGTGCGTCCAACCTACAACGCAGCATGAAGATGAGCAAGAGGTAAAACTCTGCTCACCAGTGTCCGCTTGGACCAGGAACAAGCCTGATTTTTGGATGCTGAATCGTACGCTCAAAAAGAAGCGTTCTCGTCAGCGGTTGTTGACTGTGATTCTGAAGTAATGAGCTTCACTGCCGATAACGCTTCTAGCACCAGCGTTGCAGAGCAGGTTGCCATTGCTTTTGCATTGACGGATGGTGTCCACAACGCAATTTATTCAGATTCCAAGGCTGCTATCAAGGCATTTCAAATGGGTATAGTGGCTCCCCGGGTCCTACAAATTCTTAAAAAAGCCAAATGCCTAAAAAATCACTCATTAGTTTGGCTTAGTGCACACCTTGAACCGATCGAGGATGCTTCAATCCATTCGAACGAGGAGGCGCATTCGGCTGCTCGAGGTTCGATTGAAGGAGTGCCGGGTAGTGCGTCATTTTCTGGGCGATGCGAGCCTCTCTAACCGTACAAGATATGTAAGCACCGTTATCTCTGAAGAAGAGTGCTCCCCTGCCACACTCCTAGCTGTGCAGGGCCCAAGCTGTTACTCTCCGACTGATCCAAACAAGAACCTACCTGAGGCCTGCAGCACTGCACACGATATACTCCGAAGTATTCTCAAGCCCGGATCATACCTTGTGTGGCGGTTATGCGAACATCGAACATGTCCTGTGGGGCTGTGGCTTTACCGGTCCCCCTTTCTAAGAGAAAATGAACAAGTGATTAAATCCCAGGAGCTCAACTCTCTAATCCTGGCCGTCCAGAGGGCCCACGCGAGGGCGTTCAGGTTTAACCTGAGCGTCTCCGAATGAGCCCAGCCAGGTTACGATGAGTAAGCTCACATCTTATGTGGACCTAATAAAGTTATTTCACTCACTTAACTCTTAGGTGGACGCAATGAGCGAACACATGCTGTCGAATTAAAACATTTTGCGTGAGTTATTTATCGCTTTTTGTTTTCTTCTCTCAAAGAAAGTCAATCCTAAAGTCGAGAAGTGCTTTATTGCGAAGACGAAAATTCGTAGAACACTTCAGCTTTACTCAAAAGAAAATAATGATAACGTAATCGGGCCTCGTGTGAATCACCTTCTAAACTGCTGGCCCGTTTAGGCTCTTCATGCATGTCTCAACTGTGTTGTAAGATAATCATTACTGTGCACGTAACGTTGGCCATTTCAAAGTGTTGAATGCCTCATGAAAGCACAGTTCTGAAATACCCGCTACGTCATAATTATTTTCTACGGTAATAAGCAAAGGGCTCACTAGGAGTTCGTAGGGCAGCACACGAACCTACGCAGCTGTTCACTAGTTTTGCTTCCGTTGGTGGTATTTTAAATTAAATTAAACTCAAGTTTTTATTTGCACTCGTAAAACACAGAAATATCAATTAATACCATTTGTGCGGTGTTTGTTATCGTTACGCTGGTATACTGAAGGACAAGTTGGGCAAGTTGGACATAATAAATATGTCTGACTGTTTTGCAATGTGTGAGCCTTTTCAAACACCCACTCGTTCTTCCATTCAAATATTTCTTCATCTCTGGCACGATTGTGTAATTCCACCACGCAATATATGACGCGTTAAAGAAACTCGTTCTACTAGATCACATTCCTAGTCTTTTTTCCCTAGTAGTGTCAACAATTCTCGTGGCTTTGGTATAACACCTGTTTGCCAGGCAGACGGCCTGGGTTTCATCCTTGCTCGGACCCATTATTTTTTTATATTCGTGTTATTTTTTGAATCTCAACTTTTTGGTCACGAACAAGATGATGACATCTCACTCACATCAATGGACACCAACCCCGCCATTAAAATTTCAGAGAAACGAGCTTTTAACGCAACCACTTCAAAAGAAGTTAGGCCAACCAGTGCTAGTGGTGCGAACACTGAACAAAGAAGCTGGTGGCATTACCATCCTCCTTCTCCTCACCCTTCCTGTCATGCATTGATTCTTAGATATGGCTAGTAAAAACCCTACCCCGTGATTGTCAACGCGATCACGGCAGTAAATATCAAAACAGCATGAGTCGTGAAATATATCGTCGTCGCACGCAGGAGGGTAAGCAAATTTCAAGCTATGATGTCAGCGCATGCTATTAAGGAATGTAAACTATCGCGAATTGTCCATTATGCTTCTAGCGTTTGACAGCAAAACAGACGCGCTGTGATGAACATACAATACATAACGCCCTCTTATAAGCTCATAAGCATGATGAAGCAGGATGCTTAGTTCCAGCAACACTTAAGGATGTAGCAGCCGATGCTTTATATAAGGCTGTCACAGGTCCCGTCAAGTAGGGAGGCGATCGCCGGGCTAATTCCAAGGGCTGAAGTATCGGCCCCCCGAACCGCACCACGAAAGCGTGGACAATTTTGAAGTGGTTCTTTTAGGCGCGCCAGCGGACGCCGGCTGTGGCCCAAAGAACAAGTCAGAGCCGAAAGTTGATAAACAAAACAAAATTATATTGTCCATAAAGGCCGATCAAAAACAATACACCAGTATGCACATTCCACAATAGTTGAATACAATATGTCACCAATCAAACAACGTACTACACAGTACAATCAGCCACGCTCGAAACAACGGACACAGACAACAATACGCACTACAATGCAGTCGCATGCATTGAACAACCAAGACACTTAAAGACTAAAGAGTTAGAAAACTTATTCAGCCCAAATTTCTTGGAACAAAAGTCTGAATGATACTCTTCCGAGAATCACTCACTCAAAGTCCAGCGTTGTTGTCGTTCCGCTGCCCCCGAAGTTTCTCTTCCAGGAAACCTCACGTCTTCACTTGGCCGCTCTCCAAGCTTCAAACTTCTTCGCCGGAAACACGTCGGCATCACACTCGCAGCTGTTGCCACGCCTCTTCGCTCGCTAGCGGTAGACACACACTCTTGCCTGTAGCTCGGGTCGTAACCCCTCATGTGGATATCCTCTTCTTCTCCTCCTTTGTCACGGCAGACAAAAGGCTTCGCCCACAAGGTGGTACACCCTACGCTCTCTGGCGCATACTTTCTTCTTCTCCTGCTTTGCCACTAAGGACAAAACCTTCACCGACAGACGCGGCGAGATACCCTACGAACTCTGGCGTTAACTTCCTTCTGCTGATCTCCCATCTCGGCTGCTCGATTAAATACCTTCCGCGCGAGATTCCAGAAAGTTCTCATCATTTCGTCGGCGCGATACGCAGCGAAGGCTGGGGAAAGGGCGAGACTGTTCGAAGGCCATCCGCGACGGATGATGCAACCCGGCATCACCACGCCCCTTTCCATCGAAAATCTTCTAGGGCCTGCTCGGCCACCGATGTGGGGTGAGGAGGTTCGTCGGCGAACCTACGCTGCCGAGGGGAGAGGGACGCGTGCCCTGGGAGTCTTTGGATGCTTGTTTTCTTTTTTTTATCGTTGACCTCGCGGTGTCACTCCGGCGTTTCGTCGCGAGAATTTGGCAGCGCGCCCTTTTTTGAGCGCTCATTTTGTGACACTGCCCCCCACTTTAGGAATATTATCTCATAATATTCAAAACCACAAAAACGAGCGCGAACAGTCCCCACACTCTCAAAGACTGTAACATAGTCCGTCACTCATGACACGTCACATTCGCACTAGACCACTCCATACAATTGTACATTGATATTCAATCTCA